TGTTTAATTCGTTTAATTGGATCTAGGTCAGGGATCTAATATTTTGATTTTTTTTCTACATTTGGAGTGATAATGAAAAGTAATATATAAGTTCATGTATCACGAATCTGAGCAATATTTGCAATACTGAGCGGATTAATTAATTCAACCAGATCATAAATTGGTGATTAATAAGGAAGGAACAAAAGGAAGACTTTACTGGAGCTAAATAGAGGAAGAGAGAGAAAACGTGGAGACAACTTTAAGCAGAGATAAAAACTGTCTTTGTGTGTTTGATCACGACGAGATGTTCTCTCTCTCTCTCTTTCTCTCTCTCTCTCTCTCTCTCTCTCTCTCTCTCTCTCTCTCTCTCTCTCTCTCTCTGTCTATCTATCTATATGTGTCTCTCTCTCTCTCACACACACACACAATAGCTAAATATGTATTCTATCGCTACCCTATTGTTCCCAATATCAACCACGTTTCTTAAAAAATTACTTCACGCAGTCTATTCGAAAACTATTGCTACGTCACATAAGAGTGTGGAAGTGTGTGTGTGTGTGTGTGTGTGTGTGTGTGTGTGTGTGTGTGTGTGTGTGTGTGTGTGTGTAGGAGGAGGAGGAGAGGAGTGTGTGCGTCTGTTTGTGTTCCATTTTCATATTTCGTAAAAGAGATAAAAATCGATCTAATGTATAGAGATAACGGATCACAATCTGTAAGAGAGGAAAAAGACGAAGAAGAAGAAGAAGAAGAAGAAGAAGAAGAAGAGGAAGAAGAAAACAAAGAGAGAAAAAAATATGCAAATGAATATATAGATAGCTAATATCTATGAATATATGCATGTGCAAATAACATGGTCTACCTCCCCCCCCCCCTACTTTATCGTTGGCAAACCTTTATTCTTCACCTTTATTGCTCTACCTTCGCCCCCCCCCCCTTCTTCCCCCCCCCCAACCCCCAACCACTCTCATCTCCCTCTCTCTGTCTCTCGTGTTCCTTTTCTTTATCTTCGTCTCTCTTATTTCTACTCACCCTGCCCCCCCCCCTCCTCCTTCTCTTCCCCTTCCCACTTCTCTTTCATCTTTCCTGTCTTCCTCCTTTCTTCCTTTCTGTCTCTCCTCCTTTCTTCCTTTCTGTCTTCCTCCTTTCTTCCTTTCTGTCTCTCCTCCTTCCTAACCCATCCTTGCTATGTCTCCCCCATAACCCTCCTCCCCCCTCCCCCCTCCCCCATTACCCTTTACCCTCCTCCCCCTTCTCCCCTTCCCATTGTACCCCCACCTTTCCCCCTCCTCCTCCTCCTCCTCCCACCACTCCCCCTCCTCCCCCCCCTCCTCCTCCTCCCCCACCACTCCCCCTCCTCCCCACCTCCTCCTCCTCCCCCACCACTCCCCCTCCTCCCCCACCACTCCCCCTCCTCCCCCACCACTCCCCTCCTCCTCCCCCACCACTCCCCCTCCTCCTCCCCCACCACTCCCCCTCCTCCCCCTCGAATCTTACCCCTACCGCCTTCCCATCTCCCTCTTCTCCCCCTCCCATAGTACCCCCTTTCCCCCTCCTCCTCCTCTTTCCACCACTCCCCCAATCCCCCCTCTTCCCCTCTCCACGCCCGCAACACCCCCCCCACCACTCCCCAACCCCCCATCCTCCCCCTCTCTCCCCCTCCACGCCTCTTCCTCTCCCCCTCCCCCCTCTCCCCCTCTCCACACCCCCAACCCCCTCTCTCCTCCCTCCTCCACGTCCCCCAACCCCTCCCCCCTCTCCCCCCCTCTCCCCCGCGGGCGTGAACAGGCTACAACGCAACACTTCATCACAACAGCACCTGCGTCTCGAAGGTGATGAAAAAGGGCGACTTTTAGCGCCCTCGTAAAATGGCTTCGTCTATTTTCCTTGTGGGTTTTTATTTTTTTCCCCCCCTAACGTTTTTTTTTTAATCTCTTCTTCTTCTTTTTTCTAGATTTTTTTTCTTTCTTTTTTTTCTTTTTTCTTTTTCGTGTTTTTTTTTTTTGGGGGGGGGAGAGGGTGATTTTGTAGTCTTCCTGCGTCTCTCTCTCTCTCTCTCTCTCTCTTCCTTTCTCTTTCTTTCTCTCTCTCTCTCTCTCTCCTTCTCTCTCTCTCTATCTATCTATCTATCTATCTATTTCTCTCTTCTTTTCTTGCAAACCTGGATCGTCTTCTGTTTTTATTTATCTATTTTTTATTTCAACTATTTCTATCTTTCATTATCTCGTCTTTTTTCCTTACTTTTCCTTACTATTATTATAATTCATCGTCATCACTATCTCCCTCCTCCTTCTTCTCCTCGTTTTTCTTCTATTCCTGCTGTTCTTCTTTTGGCTTTTCCCTTTCTTTTTCTTTTCTTTTTTTTCTTTTCTTTTCCTTTCCTTTCCCTCTTCTTTTTTTTCTTCTTTTTTCCTTTTTGTTCTTCTCTTCATCTTCTTTCTTCTCCTCCTCCTTCTCATCCCCATCTCCTCCTTCATCTCTTCCTCTTCCGTTTCTCTTCCCGTCTCTCCCTATTCCTCTTTCGTAAGTGAAGGCATTGGAGTTCGAAAAATAAAGTAGGAGGTAGACAGACAGATAAAAAAAAAACAAAAAACAAAAAACAAAGATGAAAAGGAAGTAGATAAAGAAATGGAGATGGAAAGGGGAAGTAGAGAAAATAGTGATGAAAAGGGAGTGGTGGAGAGAGGATAAAAGGTTGTTATTTTCTCCTGTACACGTGTGGTGTACGTGTGCGTTTATGTGTGTGATTGTGTGTCTGTTTGTTTGTGTGTGTGTGTGTGATTGTGTGTCTGTTTGTTTGTGTGTGTATGTGTGTGTGTGTGTATGTGTGTGTGTGTGTGTGTGTGTGTGTGTGTGTGTGTGTGTGTGTGTGTGTGTGTGTGTGTGTGTGTGTGTGTGTGTGTGTGTACGCGTACGTGTGGTTGTGTTTGTGCATGTGTGTGTCTGTATGTTTGTGTGCGTGTGCGTGTATGTGGGCGTGTCTGTGTTTCTGTCTATGCGTATCTGAAAGAGAGCGAGAGGAAGAACTTGCAATGATATCAATCCACATTTTTTACGTATCTATCCTTTTACGTGTTATATCAACAACCACCATAGTCATATCTTCGTCGCTGATCTTATTATCTTGTTTGTCCATTTTTATTTTTTATTTCTATTTATTTATTTATTCATTTATTTATTCCTCCATACAGATTTCCATCATTCGTTTTGGTAATTCAGTCAAAACTCAAAATAATGTATGGCCATATCTCAAAATATCTTTCAAGGAGGATATACAATAAGACGATTTATTTCTCGACATTGAAGGCTAAGATTAAATTCCCACGCTTAAATGTCACTAAACTGTCCACCGTAATTCTGTTCGAAAAATTTAAGTTCACTGCATGAAAAACATTTTATCAGAGATTATTTGGTAGAGTGTGGATATAAATAAAATTCAAGAGTACGTAAACGTTTCTTCAAAGTTTGGACGAAGATAAGAAAAAAATCCCTCATTAAAGTACTTTTTCTCTCTGCCAGATTTATATCAAAAGAAATGAATATCACCCCTTTAAAAAAATAAATAAACATAAACATAAAAAATCTCTCCCTGTACAAACTGACTTGGAAGATATTCATACCCTCACCCCAAAGAAGCTTAAAAGAATTATGTACTTACTACTTAAGTGCGTTGCGTTTTCCTGATCAGCGGAACGTACTTGAAACAACTATTCAAGGTATCTATTCCCTCTACGGTAGTCCCTGTTAATCAAGCCACCACTCGCTGAATACAAGTGAAACAAGCTGTGTGTGTGTGTGTGTGTGTGTGTGTGTGTGTGTGTGTGTGTGTGTGTGTGTGTGTGTGTGTGTGTGTGTGTGTGTGTGTGTGTGTCTCTGTCTGTCTTTGTGTGATGGGTGCTTATATATAACGAGCTAAGTATCTATCTAAGTGTCTGTCATCATTTTAGATTATTAAAGTCCCGTTTATATCATGACTAGCTCCTTCGGCGTCCCAAAAAGACTGTTCAGTGTTTCGTCGTATGTTGCAGGTTGCAAATTAATCATAAGCACGGGCGTTGTTTTTAATAGCTCACTGAAGGAAGGATGGTTGCCGTTTCCCTTTATGGTTGTTAAAGTGTTTGAATAGTATTTGGAATTAAGCTTCGGTTTGTCTTAGCTTTCCTTAAGACCTACGATTGGTTTAGTAATATCAGCTGTTTTATTCACTATATATGTCAGTGTATTAGTCATACTCATGAACATTATCTGCTAACATTGAACGATTCGAATACAAGCCACTCCTTTTGGATCTTCAAAGGCATAAGGGTATTTCTTATACAATGCCACCCTCCCCCCCACTCCCTCTACAACGCCCCCCC